CTTCATCATCATGTACTGCACTTCTCTTATGAGGATCTTCACCTTTAATACTTCAGAACAACTTCCAAAAACCCTAAAAGCTTCCACTAGATCTAGAATAAAGAAATCTAAAATGAGAGAGCTTTTTAATGGCCTTATGCATCCTTTTATAGAAGCAATTGACTTCTAACAAGGATTGGATAGGCTTTAGGTCTTCTGGAGTCATCTGGGCCTGTCTGGGACGAATTATGACTTAATTAGAATAAATCCCGTAACTTAGAAATTTGACTTAACAGCAAAGGCTCAAGCAGAAAAGCTTCGGCTCAAACTTTTTGGCATGTGCTCGAGCCTTTTGACTTGTGCTTGAGCAGGAATTCTATATTTAGCCATTTTTCTTTAAATAATTTTTGAAGCATCATTTTCATCAACACTTAGAATATTTTGGAATAATTTCTTCATGGTGTTCGATCACCTTGCTTGGGTGCTCAAGCCTTGGGACTTCTGCTTAAGCTTTTTGGATTCTACTTGAACCATTTGGTCTCTACTCGAGGTCTAGTAACATGAAACTTCCGAAGCGTCTTTTCATATTCCGAGGCAAATTATGCTCGAGCTCTTTTGCAAAGGCTCGAACACCTTGAGTCTTTGCTCGAGCAGAAAGATCTCTGCTCGAGCCTTTTTGCTTTAGTTACTTTTCTTGCTTCAATTGACTTTGTGCTCGAGCTAAGAAATTTGTACTCGAGTTTTGGCACTTAAACTTCTCCAAAATCATCATTTTGACTCCAAGCTTGCTTTAAATGATCGGCAATGACTCTGTAAGCTTCGATATCAGTTTTTTCATCATAAAATTTCGATTTTATCCATTTCTTTGGGAAAGTACCTACAAAAACAAAGTAAACTCAAATCCGTCTAAAATTGGATAAAAGTACAACTTAAGGTCTTAACATATGCACGTTTAAGGGCTCGAATATACAATATTCAGCGCTCATCAGTCTAAATGGTTAGTTTTTTCAAACTGGAGCTTTTTAGAAGCTGAAATGGCAAATTCTAAGGACAACCCACATAAGTTCAATAGATAAGAGATTATAAGAGATTGTGGGTCTATTGAATTTGAACTTCTCAAGATGGGATTGACTGATGAGGTTGAGAACAAGGATGCATGGCATGTAATTGGAGCTATATGCCTTGTATGTTGAAGTCTACTACTGATAAAATGAATTATTGAACACATATCTATATAAATCTATGAACTTGTATATATAAGCTTAGCAGATTTGAGAGTCGAGATTGTATATACTTCAGTGAACTCCAATGGCTTCCCTTCTCCTTTGTGTTTGTTTCGATCAACTAGAAAAAACCCTAGAAGAAATTGGTATACATTTTTAAGAAGCATTACATAGAAACCTAAACGATGTCGTTTTACTACATATAACATTATAACGATCGCAGCTAACCAGCGTCCCATTAGACCTAAATATATTTTGGTGGACCTACTTATTATTGTGCTTTTTAACAAAAAAATTTAAGTTAATTACACTGACAGCCCATCAGGTTTGATTAAATATTACATTAAAACATCGTTCGAAAATAACTATTACTCACGTTACAAATGTTTGATCCGTTTTTCAATTACACCCTAAAAGTTATTTTTCAGTTGTGTCAGCCCACTTTTTACTTGTAAAAAGACATTATAACGCTTTGACTTTGTCAAAATTCACTTAAACCTTAAAAAATCACTTAAAATACCAAAATACCCATACTTTTTCCCAAATTGACACATAAGACCATCCAAAGGGCATTTAATATATTTATATATACGCTTTTTCCCACCTTTACATCTCTAACCATTCGTTTTTTTTTTTTTTTTTTTTTTTTCACTTTTTTGATTAGTATCTTAAATGAAGAGATTATATATCCACTTGCATAAATATTATTTATAAATTCAATAATTCAAGTTACATTAATTAACTTGGATATTGATAATTGTGAATGATTATGTTGAAACTGAATTTTATTATTAACTAGGAAAAGACACGTGTTATGCACGTGATTATATATCATATGATATATGTCACTAAATTGTAGTTTTATTAATATTATATTATATATATATGTGTGTGTGTAATTTTAAATTGGATGTATTTTTTCTACAAAATATTAGTGACAAAAAGCATATAAACATATAAATAATCGAAGAAGAGTCAATATATTAGTGATAATACCTCATTTCTCTTATCTTCAAAACAAGACTAACAAACCAAATTAAAATTCAAAAGAAGAAAAAACATATGCAATCACTTACGAATTTAAGTTAATACATGAAAATTACAGTTGAATTTATCGTACAATAAAGAAAAATAATTCTTTCTTTAAGCTAAATAATTTATAAAATAAGCTAAATAAAAATTGTTACAAGTAATAAATGAATATCAAATAAAAAAAACTTGTTAATATATATTTAGCTCTATTTATAATACTCTAATATAATCCGAATATGATTTCTTTAGCTTCAATATGTTCACTGCTAACACATATCTTCGCTAGATTTTCACATCTTATCCCATCGCCAAATTTAGTCATCCATCGTATAACTCTCCATTTGAATCATGTTATATCTCCATCATTCTCAAATATATATAGCACCTGAAACCAATCAACAAAACAATTAAACATTTTAATAAGTTAATTAGATGAAACGACATGTTAAATTATGTTTCCCATGCTTGAACTTCACACTTGTTAATCTGAAATTCTGAACTGAACAAAGCAAAAGTAATAAGTTAAGTCGAAATTAGAGGATGTTTTGCTTTCAATTACCCTAAGTAGCAAAACAGTCCCCCTCATAAAGAGAACGCAAAAAATGGACTACTTACAAGGTTAATCGTCTTTCAAAAGCACTTAAGTAACATACAATGTCTTACAAAAAGTAACTTTAGCTTTTATCATATGAATTACCTAGCAAAATTGAAGAGTAATTATAACGATTTTGCTACAAAAAAATATACCAATTAAAATAATATTTTAAATTCATAAATTGAAAAATGACGAATCACCTTATATGTTTTCACTTAGAAAATAAAGTGTGATCACTTATGTCCAATAAGGGTAACAAATTAGAAGAAACAAAGCATTTGGTATGACAATCATAAATTTAAAAATTGGGATTGATTTTTCTCTTCATTCCTACAATATTATTATTGATTTATTCTACTATAATCAACCTTCTAGTATTTTTAATGAAATCATTGTAAGAAGCATTGAAAAATCGTTAATTAAATATTTTTGGGAGAAGGTACACCACTCACAAAAATACTTTGATTACTACTCCTTGGAGTTTAAGAAAATATTTAAAGCTTAAAAAAGCATTAGGAGCATACACAAGAAAAAATCTTACCTCAATGGTTCATCACTCATCCCTTTCAAACATTTGTTGCATCGCAGTGAAGCACACAATTCACCATTACCAAGTTTCAGGCATTTGAAATGCTTATGAGAAAATATAGGGAATTATTGGTCTTAGAATTAGTTATAAATGAATTCAGGTCTGAAAAAAAATATATCAAGGAATTAAAACAATCTAACATTGTTATTTGAAATGCACGAAGCTCTAAAGTAAAAGTCTGTGATACAATTTTCAATTTAACCAACCAAACCAATCAATTTTTTATTTATGCTTCCATATATATCTAGAATTCCTATATGGTCGAATTGGAAATCAATTCAAGCTTATTTCCTCTTGAATTTTTCAATAATAATAATAATAATAATATAAAACAAAAAAACAAAACAAAACAAAGAAAAAGATTCAAAATAATTTACATTAAACACAAATTAAACATGGTTCTATGGTAACACTCGAAATAGAATAATAAAGAATAAGGCACACGAATAACGTTAATTAAAATGATATCAATTAAAACCAACATACTGCTATTGATTAATCCAAAATACACGAAAACATGAGAAAGTGGGTATGTCAAACTACTATTATTAGTCAAAGTTTCATTTCATATTTTAAAATAGAATTTGCAAAATGAGAATCAAATGAAGAGTTGAGCCAAGTATTCAATCACCTTTCACCTTATCCACTTTGTTTGGAGCACCTTCCATAAAAAAATATAAAAACCTACAACAATTTTATGAAGGAGATGATACCAAAGTACCACACAGAAAATGATTGAGTAAAAACACAAATTTTAGAGAAATTAACAATAAGGAGCTATACAAATAAATGATGTTGAAAACTGTGGATGCATTTGCATTCTTGCATGCAGGTTAGATATAGATATAATAGAAATTGGTAAGTCACTTTAGAATTCTAGGGTAGCTGAACAATTTAATTCAATTCATTTGAATTAAAAACCATAAAATAGTATTTAAAACATTTAATAAAAATATTTGTGAGTTTAAAGCTTTTTGAAACAGATGGGCTATTCAATTTATTTGAATTAAATTATTATGTGTTTTAATTAAGGACACTTTTTATTTGAGAAAAATAAAATAAAAAGTGTTAAGAAACTTCTTACACTTTTATTTAGGGAAAAAAAAAAATTTTCTTACACTTTTAGTATAAAAGAAAAAATAAAATATAATAGAAAATGGTAAGTCACTTTAGAATTCTCAGGTAGCTGAACCATTTAATTCAATTTACTTGAATTAAAAATCATAAAAATAGTATTTAAAACCTTTAATGAAAATATTTGCGAGTTTAAAGTTTTTAAAACTGATGGGCTATTCAATTTATTTGAATTCAATTATTATGTGTTTCAATTAAAGAGACTTTTATTTGAGAAAAATAAAATAAAAAGTGTTAAGAAATTTCTTTACATAAAAAAACACAAGTGTTGTGCACCAATTGAATTCCTTACATAAAAAACAAGTGTTGTGCAACTATTGAATCGGCCTATTCTTTCGGTTGTTTGGATTCGCCTAATTTTAATTTTTCCTTCGCGAAATATTTTTAAAAATAAAAAATAAAAAAAAGGAATTGTCCCGTTGACTTGAGCTGGTAGTTTGTAGACGGCTGTTGAGTTGAACTGTATGGAGCTTATCAATTTCCAATTCCAGAGAGAGAAAAATTGCAGATACATTTCCCAAACCTCACAGAGAGATCTGAGCTTGTCGTGTTGTATCTGTCTGTGATGGAATAGGAATCGGAGTGCGGTGAAGAAAATCATAAATTCGCAGAGGTATAGCCCAAAATACCGAAGACAGAAGGGGATCTGAGTCTGCTGTATTTGATAGGTTTAGTAATAATCTCATACAAGATTTATTTAGGTTTGATATACAATAACAGTGTTGCTGATCGATGGAGCCGCTGAAAGGGGAGGAAAATAAAGAGTCCCTGCCTCCGGAATGGCCGTCCAAGCAGTTGATGCCAGATAAGGTTGCTGGAAGTATTTCAAATCGCGGGAAAAGAAAAATCTCAGTTCGTCCTCTCCCTGTGGGTGTGTTTGGTAGGGTTGATTTGGAGGGATAGGGAGAGAAAAGAAAAGAGGAGATAGTGTAGTGTGTGTTTGGGTAAGTTAAGTGGAGGTCATTTGCTTTCTCCTCAATTTTGAGAAGATAGGGAGAGAAAAGATAGTGATTTTAGTAGTATTTTGATAATACCAAAATTAGCCTCCACAAATCAATACATAGATTTATTATTCCATTCAAGTCCCGTGGTTATGAAAAGATAAAAAGTAATTTGTCTATTATCTTTTTTTTTCTTTTCTCTCCTCTATCTTATCCAAACAAGAATAACTATCCTTTCTTTTCTTTTCTCCCCTGTCTATCCAAACACAAATAGAAATTATTACTATCCTTTCTTTTCTTTTCTTTTCTTTTCTCACTAAACTATATTTTCTTTTCTTTTCTCTCATAACTAATACTATCCAAACACACTCTATATTTACGTCACTTCCAAAAGGGGAATATGACGTCTTCTTGAATTTAACAACTCTAGGCATTCTTGACATTTGCATTAGTTACCTGAAACTCCGTCTCGAACATGCAAGAGTTCGCACCTTAGGATTCGAGCACCAGTTCTGTGAAGGAGACGAGGTTCACCCGGAACAACTCAAAGCAGTCGAGAAATCGAAGATCTCAATCCCAATATTCTCCAAGAACTATGCTTCCAGTAAACGGTGCCTCCGCGAGCTAGCCCAGATGGTGGAGTGCAGGAGAGCTACGGAACAATTGATTTTGCCCATATTCTATGACGTTAAACCCTCTGATGTGAAGCATCAAACAGGGAGTTACGAGGAGGCCTTCCGCAAGCACGAGAGTTGTACTGACGAAAGGACTGTTAAGCAATGGAAGGTGGCCTTGGCAGAGGTTGGAGCTCTCAAGGGTTGGGAATTCAAGGAGGAAATAGATGGGTATGATAAATTCCTTCCATCCCATTATTTTTATATTTTATTTATAAGTGCTTAAACAAACTAGTTATTTGTAGTATAGAAACTTCGTCGTAGATGGTCTTTTAAGTAATCAATCATAAGCAATATGCGAGAAGTATCAACAAATAAGTATTAATCAATTCAAAATGTCTAACCAATTATAATTTCTAATCAAAATAAAAGAAGTAAAACTCATCATTTTATGCTCCATTGTTTATTATAATTTCTTTTTACGCACTAATTATTGTTCTATTTTTTTTTTTTCAATGACATCAATAAGGTTTCAATTAGTTACGGAGTTGATTGTTCCAGCGATGTTGTTAGAGTTAAAAAAGAAGATCATGGATGTCCCTGACTACTTGGTTGGCATCGATGATCGGCGAAAAGAAATGATGGAGTTGTTAAATGAAGACTCCGATGAAGTGCGAGTTGTTGGTATCTATGGCATCGGTGGTATTGGCAAGACAACTATTGCCAGGTACATGTACGTGTTAGGATATGTGTGCCCTAGCATAGTAAATTCTAATTTTGGATTGTAAAAGTCATGGTTTCTTATCTGGATATTATTATTAAAGCATTATACAATTGGTGAATGAAATGTATTATTTGTTCGATTCATTATGGAATTGATTGTGTCCACTTGATTACATAATAAATTTATATGTATGTAATGGCAATTAATACTATGTTATAAATTAGTAATCATAAATGGTTTAAAGTCGGTAATTATGGATGAACATTTAATTAGTTAAGACTTAAACCGAATCCACGATAGATTGAGATATATTACGAGAGCTGTCATATGCAATTGCTCTCTATCACAGTCATGGCTTTTGACTCTCAAGCATGAGAGAAGTATAGACTCTTTTATTAATTAATAATTACTTTGATTTGTTCGGCGAATACCTCGGGATCCTTAGATCGACACTTTGGATAGTTATGTAATTAATAATTAGAGGTCTATATTCTCAATATTTGCATCAGTGCTATTTGTATTTATTTTGTTTTGATTATGGTTGATCAAAAATTAAATTCGAAGGCCTTCGTATGTTTTAGACAAATGTTTTATATATATATTTATTTAATAAATTATTATTATTTGTCAAATAAATATTTTATTGTGATCGAGCCGGAAATAATCAAAGGTAACAAAATAATTATATTAATTATGTTGTCGGATTGATGGCTTTAATTATTCAATAAATAATTAAGCATAGAGGGGTCAAAGTGTAACATTGACTTAAAGGTTATTTACTATTTTATTGGAATGCAATTAATTTCTTTTAGTGGAGTAGAAATTAATTTATGAATTAATTTAATTGGGTCCATAGTTTAATGGATAGGACCAATTATTAATTTATAGGAGCCAAGAAAATAGTAAGCCCAAAAGGATTCTCACCAATAGCCCAAGTTGATATTGGAGTCATGTTAGAATTGAGAAAGTTGAATTAGAGATGGAGAATGATTTATTGTTTCCTTATTCTTATTTTTATTTTGCCTATATATACATGACTTCATGTATATTTTAGGTGTGACTTGGAGAAGAAGAAAAAGGAATACATTTTCTCTCTCTAGATTTTAGGGTTTTGTTTTCTCTTCTAAAGGAGGCTACCACCAACCTAGATTTCAAGGTCATTCATCAAGGCATATTGGTGATTCCTAAAAGGAAGATAATAATCAAAAAGAAGGAGAAATGATCTTGCTAAAGGGATCTACAATAAGTGAGAACATTCACTTTAGAGGAAAGTTCAAAAGGTTTACTCAGACCTTTGATGTAAATATTCAATCTGTTTATTGAATTATGCATCATCTTTTATTTATCTTTGCATAAAACTTGTCTCTATGTGATGAATCAAGATTCATGATTGCAAATCCCTCAAAAGTTTTAAAAACTTGCACGTTTCCCAACAGTGGTATCAGAGCACATGGTTTGATTTATTACTAGAGAACATGTGTTTATAAAAATCATATTCATGGATCCAAATTATATATAAATATATAAAATTATTGATATATGTTGATGTATGATTTATTATGTTGATATATATTAATACATGATGATGTATGTATAATTGTGAATGGATGATGATGTGTGTTTGGGCCATGGATGAAGCTTATAGATTTATAGAATGTAATTTTATTTTTGGATGAATGTAATTAAGGCTTTGTTTTAGCCGTTTGAAAATTCAATGATGTAATTTAATTTTTTCCATTGTATTTCAAATTGTAAGTATTTATTAAAGCCATGTAATATTTATCAAAGGATGCTATAAAGCTTCAAGAGGGTCTGAAATGGTTAAATTATGCTTCAGTAATTTTCTGAAATTTTTCTGGAATTTTTTGGATTTTTTGGAATTTTTTTGACCTTTTTCCGGTGGCCGGAGCTTCGCCGGCGGCGAAAAAGGGCGTCGGAGGAGGCACGGATCAGATGTGATGCAGGTAAGGTAAGCCTGGCGCGTGTTCCTCACGCGCCAGGAAGTGGCATATAAAGGACAAGCTGGCGCGTGGATCTCACGCGCCAGCTAAGGGGGTTTCCTTCTCCATGCGTGTGTAGGCACGTGGAGGCGCGTCCCACACGCCCCAAGCGCGTTCCAGCGCGTGGGGGCACGTGCCTTGACCTGCCACCTTCCCTAGGCGCGTGCCAACGCGTGTGGGGTCCTCGGGGCTCTTTCCAAGCGGCGTTTTGCTTCTCCTGACGCGTACAAGCTTCCTATGGGTGTTTACAGACAGTTAAAGGACGCCCGTACAACAAGAATAGTTTCTAAATGTTAAAAGCTGAATCCATTGGCCATTTATATTGCTTCTGTCTGTTATTTGATGCATGGAATAATTTAATACTTATTATAATTGTTCATGCATTGGATCCATGATTTTTTAACTAAATGGCTTGATTTATATTAATTAAATTATGAAGATAAATTGGATTAAATTACTAATTAATTTGAGGGCATTTATTGGGAAACAGAAAAATTATTTTTGTAAATTATTTTTTTGCCTCAAATTAAATATTAGTGAATAATTTAAAATCCATATATTTTCTAAATTTAATTGGATTAAAATCAAGGCGTTTTGCATGCATTAAATCATGAATTGAAAACCCTAGTTTTATATTATTAAAAATTGAGTGGGAGCAGGGATTTTTTATATATTACCCCATGGCCTTCGTAATTATAACCATTATGATTAGATCTTTAAAAATAAGGCTCCACGCATGATTTAAAGAGTCTAGATTACAAGAATGGTTGTCTCACGAAAATATATTTATTAAATAACCATTATAGTTAGATCTTTAAAAATAAGGCCCTACGCATAATTTAAAGAGTCTAAGCTATTAATGGCAATATTTTTAATATTTGATTTTTCGTTGGAGCATTAATTATGTTATACACTTAATCTAAAATCAATAGTATTAGCTCCCCAACGGAGTGGTCTATACTAGGTGATTTTAGAAAGGCTAAATCTAATCGGGAATTATTTCATATATAGATAAGACATTATCTAAAGAGATATGGAAATAATGAGTTGTTTTCGTCAATAAGCAATAATGAATTCCGCCAACCGGATAAGTTATTGGCATATTGATTATCCGATTTTTCATGCAATGTGGTTAAGAGACCCACAATTAATTAATTATTTTATACTTGCATGATTATTATTATTCACTTTATTTATTGTATGAATGCTTTTATTTTCAGATTTATCATGACTAGTGCATTCAGTCCACTTGCAAACATACTAAAAGAAAATCGATTAACTGGACCTAGTTATATCGATTGGAAAAGGCAACTAGATATTGTACTCACATATGTGGGGTTGAATTATGTGCTTACTACTCCCAGACCTTCTCCACCTTTGCCTGAGGATCCTCCTGAGGAGCATGAAGTTTTTAAGAAATGGAATAAAGCAGATGAGATGACTAGGTGCTACATTTTTGCTTCACTCTCGAATGTACTCCAAAGTTAACATCTTCAATATCTCACTTCTGCAGACATCATGCTTAACCTTAAGGAAATGTTTGGGCAAATTGGTAAGAGTGCACGTCAAAATGCTATGACAAATTTGATGACCATTAAGATGGTTCAAGGTACTTCAGTTCGGGAACATGTTTTAAAAATGATTGGTTTTTTAAATGAACTGGAGATCCTTGGATGCAACTTGGATGGTGAACTTCAGGTTGACATGATTATCGCTTCATTGCCAGACTCATTTAACTCTTTTAGGGTTAATTATTATATGAATAAGCTTGAGTACACACTCGCTGAACTTTTGAATGAGTTGGTAACCTTTGAAGGGATAATCAAAAGCAAGGGTGCATCTATCAACTACACTCAGTCTGCTGGACCATCCACTTCTAGGCCCAAGAGGAAGGGCAAGAAAAAGAAGAAGGATGGTGCCAAAACTGTGGTTGTGCCAAACAAAGTAATCCAAAAGGATAAGGGAAAGAAGAAAGTGCGGGTTGAAGGCGAAGGAAACTGTTTCCATTGCGGTCAACCGGGTCACTGGAAACCTAACTGCCCAATACTTCGCACACAAGGCAAAGGAAAAGGTATATTCATTGTTGAGGCATGTAATGTGGTTGAATCTATAGATTCCTAGTGCATAGATTCTGGAGCCACTAATCATGTTTGCAATTCATTGCAGGGATTCCAGGAGTCTAGAAGCCTCAATGAAGGAGAGATATACTTGCATATGGGATCTAATGCCAAGGTGGAAGCTAAAGCAGTGGGAGTGGTTCATATGCAGTTTGATAGTGGGAGGGGTCTTATTTTAGAAGATTGTCTTTATGCGCCAAATGTTAGGCACAATTTAATTTCAGTTTCTTTGTTGGTTTGCAAAAATTATATTTTTACTTTTGAAAAAAATGTTTTAATTAAATTAAATGGTTGTGTTATAACTTCTGGTGCATTGAAAGATAATCTATATGTTTTAACTCCTAGCTCATATCAAATGCAAAATTATGAATTAAATGCAACTTCATTTAGATTGAATGTTAAAAGAAAAGCAGTTTCTCCAAACTCATTATATCATTGGCATTTACGATTGGGTCACATCAATCAAAATATGATTCAAAGGTTGGTTAAAGAAAGTTTATTACCTTGTGAGGCAGAGGAGCCTATGCCAACTTGTGAATCCTGTATTGAAGGAAAGATAACTCGAAGGGCTTACTCAGCCAAGGGATATAGAGCCAAAGAACAATTAGAGTTGGTGCACACAGACGTGTGTGGTCCCATGAACACCCAAGCGAGAGGAGGGTTTGAGTACTTCATCACTTTCATTGATGATTATTCACGTTTTGGATATATTTACCTAATGCGACACAAGTCAGAAGCTTATGGAAAATTCCGTGAGTTTCAGGCGGAAGTGGAGTGTAGATTAGGTAAACTTATCAAAATACTTCGATCTGATCGAGGAGGTGAATACCTCTTGGGGGAGTTCAAGGATCATATGGTCAATGAGGGTATTGTGCACCACTTATCCGCACCTGACTGCCCTCAACAGAATGGAGTGGCAGAAAGAAGAAACAGAACTTTACTTAACATGGTTAGATCTATGAGGAGTTTTGCTACATTACCTTTATCATTTTGGGGATTAGCCTTAGAATCAGCGATGTATATTTTGAACTGTGTTCCATCCAAGTCTGTTTCAGGAATGCCATATGAGCTGTGGTTTGGACATAAACCTAGTTTAAATCATATGCATATATAGGGGTGTCCAGCACACGTGCGAAAGAAACAGGCAGACAAGTTGGAAGCAAGATCAGATGCATGCTTGTTTGTTGGCTATCCTAAGGGCACTAGAGGTGGATTATTTTATGATCCCAGGGACAATAAGGTTATTGTCAGCACTCATGCTGTTTACCTGGAGGAGGATTATATTATGAACCACAGACCTGGTAGCCAGATAGTGTTAGAGGAGATGGATGGCACGTCAGATATACCCCTGTGGACATACCTAATATAAATACTGAGAATGATAAGACACAAGAAGTCCCTGTTAAATTACCATCATCTAGTACATCTATTCCTGCACCGGTCCTTCGGCGTAGTGGGAGGACTATCATCCAACCCGAAAAACTCACACTTTTGGGTGAGGTCTATGAGGCCGTCCCCGATAAGCATGAGTCGGACCCAGTAAGCTATGCGGAAGCGTTGACAGATATAGATGCGAATCGTTGGAAAGATGCCATGAAATCAGAGTTGGAATCGATGTATTCTAACAAAGTCTGGGATATTGTAGAACTTCCTAGTGGAGTTCAGCCCATTGGTTGTAAGTGGATCTACAAACGAAAGAGAGGAATGGATGGGAATTTTGAGACATTCAAAGCTAGACTGGTTGCCAAAGGCTTCACTCAACGTGAAGGTATTGATTATGAGGATACATTCTCACCAGTTGCAATGCTTAAATCTATTCGCATTCTTTTGGCCATTAGTGCTTATTATGACTATGAGATATGACAGATGGATGTTAAGACGGTATTTTTAAATGGCCATCTTGAACAAGACATCTACATGAGGCAACCAGACGGTTTCGTGGTTAAAGGTTGTGAGGACTGTGTATGTAAGTTGAATAGGTCTATTTATGGACTTAAGCAAGCTTCACGCAAATGGAACATTTGTTTTGATCAGGTAGTCAAATTATTTGGCTTTGAACAAAACGTGTTTGAACCTTGCGTTTACAAGAAAAAACAGGGTAATGTCATCATGATTCTCGTTTTATATGTTGATGACATATTACTCATTGGTAATGATGTAGAGGCTTTGTCATCAGTTAAAAGGTGGTTGTTCAATAAATTTGAGATGAAAGATCTTGGAGAAGCAAGCTATATTATTGGGATCAAGCTTATGCGAGATCGGGTTAAAAAGAAAATAGGCTTGTCTTAAAAGTCTTACATTGACAAAGTTCTGATCAGGTTTGGAATGGAAAACTCTAAGAAAGGGTTTTTGCCATTTAGACATGGGTTGGCTCTTTCTAATGATTAGTCTCCCAAGACTGATAAGGAAATTGAGCAAATGAGGCGGGTACCATATGCTTCGGCAGTTGGTAGTCTCATGTATGCCATGGTCTGTACCAGACCGGACATCTGCTACTCTGTAGGGATTGTCAGTAGATATTAGTTCAATCCTGGACTTGATCATTGGTCAGCTGTGAAGAATATCTTAAAATACCTTAGAAGAACTAAGAATCTAATGCTCATTTATGGAGGTGATGATCTGGTTCCAGTCGGATATACGGATTCTGATTTTCAATCAGATCCTGATGCCAGGAGATCTACGTCTGGATATGTGTTCAAGTTCAATGGAGGGGCAGTTAGTTGGAAGAGTGTCAAGCAGGGTTGTACTGCTGACTCAACCATGGAAGCAGAATACATTACAGCCTCTGAGGCAGCAAAAGAAGCTGTTTGGTTGAGAAACTTTCTAATTGAACTGGAGGTTGTGGAGCACATAGATCGGCCTATGACGCTTCATTGCGACAATAGTGCAGCTATAGCCCAAACCAAGGACCCAAAATTTCATAAAGGAACAAGACACATTCAGAGGAAACATCATGTGGTTCGTGATATAGTAAAACGAGGAGATATACTTGTGGCCAAGATTGCATCGGAACATAACCTTGTTGATCCATTCACAAAGGCTTTACCGATCAAGATGTTTGATCGTCATATGGAGAACATGGGAGTTAGATGTGATTCGAATTGGCTATAAGTGCAAGTGGGAGCTGTTAGGATATGTGTGCCCTAGCATAGCAAATTCTAATTTTGGATTGTAAAAGTCATGATTTCTTATCTGGATATTATTATTAAAGCATTATACAATTGGTAAATGGAATGTATTATTTGTTCGATTCATTATGGAATTGATTGTGTCCACTTGATTACATAATATATTTATATGTATGTAATGGCAATTAATACTATGTTATAAATTAGTAATCATAAATGGTTTAAAGTCGGTAATTATGGATGGACATTTAATTAGTTAAGAACTAAACCGAGTCCACGATAGATTGAGATATATTGTGAGAGCTGTCGTATGCAATTGCTCTCTATCACAGTCATGCCTTTTGACTCTCAAGTATGAGAGAAATATAGACTATTTTATTAATTAATAATTACTTTGATTTGTTCGGTGGATACCTCAGAATCCTTAGATCGACACTTTGGGTAGTTATGTAATTAATAATTAGAGGTCTATATTCTTAATATTTGTATGAGTGCTATTTGTATTTATTTTGTTTTGATTATGGTTGATCACAAATTAAATTCGAAGGCCTTCGTATGTTTTAGACAAATGTTTTCTATATATATTTATTTAATAAATTATTATTATTTGTCAAATAAATATTTTATTGTGATCGAGCCGGAAATAATCAAAGGTAACAAAATAATTATATTAATTATGTTGTAGGATTGATGGCTTTAATTATCCGATAAATAATTAAGCATAGAGGGGTCAAAGTGCAACATTGACTTAGAGGTTATTTACTATTTTATTGGAGTGCAATTAATTTCTTTTAGTGGAGTAGAAATTAATTTATGAATTAATTTAATTGGGTCCATGGTTTAATGGACCGGACCAATTATTAATTTATAGGAGTCAAGAAAATAGTAAGCCCAAAAGGATTCTCACCAATAGCCCAAGTTGATATTGGAGTCATGTTAGAATTGAGAAAGTTGAATTAGAGATGGAGAATGATTTATTGTTTCCTTATTCTTATTTTTATTTTGCCTATATATACATGAGTTCATGTATATTTTAGGTGTGACTTGGAGAAGAAGAAAAAGGAATACACTTTCTCTCTCTAAATTTTAGGGTTTTGTTTTTTCTTCTAAAGGAGGCTACCACCAGCCTAGATTCCAAGGTCATTCATCAAGGCATATTGGTGATTCCTAAAGGGAAGATAATAATCAAAAAGAAGGAGAAAGGATCTTACTAAAGAGATTTACAATAAGTGAGAACATTCACTTTAGAGGAAAGCTCAAAAGGTTTATTCAGACCTTTGATGTTAGTATTCAATTTGTTTATCGAATTATGCATCATCTTTTATTTATCTTTGCATAAAACTTGTCTCTATGTGATGAATCAAGATCCATGATTGCAAATCCCTCAAAAGTTTTAAAAATTTGCACGTTTCCCAACAGTACGATGTTCTGAAAGAGAACTTTGACTGTCATAGCTTCATTCCAGATATTCGAGAAACAACGCAACAATGTTATGGTCTTGTTGATTTGCAGAAAAAGCTTCTCATTGACACCGTAAAATGTTGTCCTGGCATTTCTGATGTTGAAGGTGGAATGGATGTGATTAAACACGTATTTCGCAGAAAGAAAGTTCTTGTGGTTATTGGCTTGTGGGAAAGAATGACTGGTTTGGTCCAGGAAGTAGGATCATAGTTACAAGTAAAGACAGGAATGTTCTAAAAGATATTAATGTGAACCAGACTTATAAACCTCCAATTATGAATTCTGAGCAATCTCTTCAACTGTTCAGTATTCATGCGTTTAGAAGGTTGGTTCCTCCGGAAGAATTTCTTATATCTATGAAGAGGTTGCACGTAATGCTGCAGGGCTTCCTCTTGCTCTTGAGGTCATAGGTTCGTTTCTATCTAACAAAGTGAATACTCTCATTTTTTGGTGTCCTACAGACTACTTGCTGAAGCAAATATCCGATGATGAAGTTGAGAGAAATTTGAGGGTAATTTATGAAGCATTAACTGATTTGCAACAAAAGATATTTCTTGATATTGCATGTCTTTTTACTGGGATGGATAAAACAACTGTATTTTACATGTGGGATGATTGTGGCTATCATCCAGAAAAGGAATTTAATGTCCTTTTTCTCATGTCTCTCGTAAAAGTGGAAAGAGATACTAATGAGCTGAGCATACATGATCAGTTCAGAACTCTCGGTAGGAAAATCGTCTATGAAGAAAAGATTTTGGGAAATCGTAGTAGGTTATAGAAACACGAGGATTCCTTGGATGTATTGGAGGGACAGAGGGTAAGGTTTGAGTGTACTGAATTTTATACCCTTCTTTAGGCATATGTAGTAGGTTGTGAATAATGATCCTAATATGTTGTCTACTACTTTTTTTGATTGGCAGGTAACAGAAAAGGTTGAAGCCCTAAGCCTTTCCTTTGAATTGGGGTCTGGAAAGGAGCCTTGCTTTGAAAATATGGAATTCGAAAATCTAACATCTCTAAGGTATCTCCGAGCTGATGGCATAGAGCTTGTTGGGGATTTTATGGGTTTGTTTCCCAAATTGAGATGGCTTCGTTGGCGTGGTTGCCCTCCGCATTTTAAACCAACCAATTTTCATTTGATGAATTTAGTTATTCTTGATCTATCTGATAGCGGAATCACAGAAGACTGGGAGGGTTGGAATCAAATCAAGGTCTTGTATAATCTCTACTTTTGTTTTTTGTATCCCATCATATACTTGTTTAAAATTAATCTTTTTCTGTTATTTATCTGATTTTTTAACAGATTGCAAATAAGTTGAAAGTTCTAATACTGGCTGATTGTGCTTTAAGGAGAACTCCAGACTTTTCATCATACGCAACTCTAGAGATATTGATTCTTCGACGCTGTAAAAATTTGGTTGAAATCGACTCCGTAGGTGATCTGAAGAATTTAAAAGTGCTGGACATTCGTATGCTGAGGGGATAAGGAAGTTACCCATTGAAATTGAGGATTTAGAGAAGTTACAGAAGTTGAAAGTGATACGTTTTGAAACATTGAAGTTATCATGAGTACATTCCTAGTAATATGGGGGATTCATCGTCTTTAAGATTATTGAGCTTTTATGATACCAAAATTCAAGTCCTACATTGAGCATTTGGGAGCCTTTTTTGCCTCCACAACCTTAAATTGGGAGGCTGCATAGAGTTTCAATCTTATACAGAGTCAAACTTGAGGAGTCTGGCAGTCAATTTCATCCTCCATCTTATAATTTCTAATTAAATTATGTGAGTTGCACTTTATTAGGGGCTGTGAGCGTGTGGATATTCCTGGAATTATTTTGAAAATTATCCAAATTGAGAAATTAACGTTGGATTCTACCAACACTAGGTAGGACCGTGCCAGAAGACATTGGTGTCCTTTCTCAGCTGAAGGTGTTTTTTTATGTAAAATTCTGTCATGGTCTTCAGTGTGTATTCTGGTAACCCTTTAGTCTCTGTTTAATTGTAAATATTGGATCTGTCTGATTTTGAAAATTTTCTTCAAATTCACTTAAAAGTTGCATTATGCTGACATCTGCTCAAGGGCTTGGAAATTTAGAATCATTGTCAAGGCTGGATATGAAGGTGTGCAACGTGCTAGTAACATCTATCTGCTTGAACAGTCATCATATTTGCCGTCCTCGGAGATGAGTGGTTGTGGAGACTTTGAGAAAAGGCTAGATCTGTCAAACCAAAAGAAGCTGGAAGTATTATCTATTACTGATTACTCAGAACTCGATAAGATTCAAGGACTTGACAAATTGGAATGATTGAAATGTTTGTATTTGCATGGTTGCAAGAACTTACATATGATTGAGGGCCTTGAGGAGGGTGTACATCACTCATTCATTACACAGGTATGGATTTATTTTAAATATTGGCTTTGATGGAATTAATATTTCTGGCAATCTATGTGATGGTATGCCTCTCTCTCTCTCTCTCTCTCTATATATATATATATATACCTTTGTTTTTTGCCACAAACTTTTCTTGATTGCTTGTTAGTATTCGTTTCTTTCTATGTTCAAATTCAGGTTATGGTTGGAGTTGTTCATGAATTTAAAAAAAAAAAAAAAAAAAAAAAATCAGTTACCAGTACCTAAAGGAAGTAGTATAAAAATTATTACTTTTAAAATAAATGTGAAATGGTCATTTACGAGTTAACAACCAAACTGTTAGCCCACTGGAGGATCTCCTGAATCAGCTTGGGTCATTAGGAACCTGATAATTCTCTTATATTCTGTCTCCTATACCAATTTTGTGATGTTACCCTTTTGCCCTCCACATTTGTCCAAGGTGGGAGGTCAGTATGATAATAATGAGGCTCAATCTTTAACCTAGAGTTAGACTATTCAAAGCCTATTTGGGTGCTCATCCCAAATCAAAGTTATTCGAGGTCCATCTATGTGGTTGCTTGAAACCGAATGTCAGACTATCTGAAGTCTGTTTTTTAAGGTTTTTTCAAAATCAAGAGTGAGATTATTGAAGCCTACTTAAGCTTTTATATGAAACCAATTAGATTATCCAATGCCTAAAAAGTTAGTTATCTGAATCCTAGGAAATTGAAGGCTAAGTTCATTAGGTTATGATTATTTGAGATCAAGTGACTTTAAACTATTTGAAGGCCAACATTTTTTTTTTTTTTTTGAAGCGGGGAACCCATCCAACCATCGGCCCTTTGGGCTTGTGGCTACAAGGTGAATCTTGAATACGTGCAATCACCTGCGAAGAATGTTGATTATTTAAAACCATCGGCCCTTTAGACTTGTAGTTGCAAGGTGAACCTTGGATATGTACAATCACCTGCAAAGAATATTGATTATTTAAAACCTAGGAAATTTAGAGTATTCACAAAGCTAGCTAAAAGATCGGATATGTTTGACGATGAATTTTTCTTTCTTTTCCCCCCTTTTAAAGTAATTGAGGGTGAAGCATGATATGCAATCAACTAAATTTACATTTTTACTCTGTTTTTACATATTATTCTACAAGAGTGGGAGAATTTTTTAGCTCAAGGCTACAGGAGATAAATGGATACAAGGATGAAGCTGCAGCAGAAGCATTTATTGTTGTGCTACAGATGATATTAAACGAAGAGTTCATATCAAGAATTTATATCAAGTATATACATTAGACCATGAATTTAATTTGGGTTGAAATTGCTTACAACATTTAGATATTATGTATTGACATGATAAATTGATAGTGACATTATTGACTAGATATAATGATAAATTTGATATGAACTGTTTGTAAAATTTATCTGTATATTAAATTCAGTCCGGCAGTCGTCCCTTTTAATGTTTTATTATATTAGCTAGAAAATGAAATATACTACCTTCAACTTTTTGGACTATTACTTAAAAGAGTTCTTAATATTCAGTATATGGTGTATACGCAAGTTTTTTAAAATTTGAGTGAAAATTAAGGAAGCATCCCTACAATGGACCATGATTTTTGTTCAATATATTGGAATCATTTACTAGTAATACCTTTTATGGGTGAAGTGTAGAAAACATCTCTAACACTATGCATAGGACTTTTACACCATATTTCAAATAGTTTGGTAGTAACTTTTTTATTCTTTTATCATTGTGCGAAAATATTCATCAAACGTATATGATATAAAATAATGTTGTAGTGCTCGTTTTGTCCTTTTATACTTCCAAAAATGCCTAAGGGGCGTATATGCTAATAATCTCATACTATATGGGTGTTATATGCCACGAAATACAATAATTTTTGTGATACCAATTAACTCAACTAAATCAAATGATCTTTCCGTCTCTTAATCTAAATTTTACACTAACAAAATAAATCCATTGATATGATACTTAGTCCTTTCTAAATTCAATATCAAATCAATGGTTTATCCAAACAAAAGAATTAGAATAAAATTTACTTACAAATAAATTTCAAATTTAATTTAAACAATGGAATTGAAACTGAATTCCAATGCAATTCTAGTCCCATGTAGCCAAACCTACCCCCTAAAGTATAAGCATTGTAGGCAAGGTCGCTGGCCTTAGGTTTTGCAGGGTTGTTGCCGTCTGGAAATGGTTCGGCCTAGGGTTCTTGGGTGTACTGGTTTAATGGTGGAATCCGTTCGTCATTCTGACTAGGAGTGGCAAATTATGACACTACGACACGACACGACATGTCACGAGTTAAAAGGGTTTGGGTTTGGTATAAACGGGTTTGAGTCATAAAATGGTTGACACGATTAACCCGTTTACTTAACCGTGTCGGGTTAGGGTTAGGGGGTTCAACCCCTGTAACCCGTTTATGACCCATTTAACTTAACATGTTATAATTGTGAATATGACCTATGTAATTTGTTATCTGTTTAAACCCAATTACTATGGATAGTTAAGTCATTTCAACATAAACCTTATCTATACCTTATGATTTTTCTTTTTATTTTGAATATTTGAGTTAATTATGACAAATTTTTTTCTATTATTTAATATCTGATTAAATATTAAATATCTCGTTTTGATAAACAGGTCATTAAACAGGTTAATACGTTTATTTGTTTATTAAATGGGTTGGGTTAGTGCTCAGGATTATTGACACGATTATTAAATGGGTTGAGTTTATCTATTTAGTATAATACTCTCATATCGACACGACACGAACACGATCCACGAACACGAATTGCCACCCCTAATTCTGATAATCGTATTAAGGGGTTGCAGTGTAAAATTTCACTTTTGCATTTTCGAAAAATTGGTGCTCGGGTGCCGGGAAGTGTGTGATGTGGTCAATCTAGGTGTTTCCTAAGGTTTTGTAGTGTTCTAAGTGTGATGGTTAAGTCCACCATCCATTTGGAGGTCGGATTCTCAGTTTTCAGTTTTGGGCCGTATGTGGGCCTTAGCTAACCGATCTTGGGAGATGGAAACGCCATTCCTTTTCATTCAAAGGTCACGTGATTGGTAAAGTGATAAGGGAGAGAAAAAATGCAGTGTGTACAATTGGTCAGCCAGAGGCCCGAAAAGTGCCCAAGGGCGAGTAAGGATGAACAAAGTCAAGGAATGTGCCCTATATATGGGCAACACTAGATGGTTAAAGGTCTGGGATGTGCCCCGGCTAAGGGCAACAATGGACGGAGAAGTCTAGCAAATTGCCCCGGTTAGGGGTGACACTGGTTGGTTAGAGGTCCAAGAAAGTTCCTCGGTTAGGGGCGACATTGGTTGGTCAAAAGTCTGGAAACTGCCCCAGCTAGGGTAGAGACCAAGACACATGGGTTGATACCCTAGCCTAGGGATCTTAAATGTTCGTCCATTTGGCACAATGGGGGTACCTAGACACAATGTAGGTATGAAGACAGTGTCTTAGGGTAAGGGTGAACCTTAGATTGGGCAGGTTTTCTTAAGGATGACTTCTCTGAGAGTTGTCTCTTGCAGGGGTTTCTATGTGCATAACCAATATAAAAATGCATGTTTGGATAAGATATGGATATCCATTGGTTGGAAGCAAAGAAAGGGGACATAATATCCCTCTCTTTCTGTGATATGAAATAGCTATGCATGATGACATTGGGGTTGACTAATGCAATTCTAAAAGGTTTGATTCAAACCTCCAGCCACTTCCCTTCTCCCCAAGGAAGTGAAAAACAGGTCCATCTTAGGTTGGTGGCTGGGGAGGAATTCCGCCGTCGAGCTAAATCCTTTATTTGGCCCGCCGTACGCTTTCGCTTTAGCCCTTCGGCATACAATCCTCTGGTTATAAGAAAAATAAAGGACATGTAGTACATCATGAAGTGAGGTGTGTGCAACGAAAAAGAGGCAAATTTTTTTTGTTCATAAATGCAAATAAGATAACAATAAAGCATGAATGTAAAGGACATGAAATGTAAATATTTTTGTTTTTGAGAATTTTTTCTCAAAGTATTTTTTAGCATATACATGCAAAATGGAAACAAACATCAGTAACAAGAGTCATAGTGTAAATGCTAGGCCTATGGTAGATGCTGAAAACCATGTTATTAAGGACTACAATCACGTCGGACAAACTGGAATGGAAAGTTAATATTAAAAATGTTTTTGGCTTAAACCCACTCTAGCTTAAGGTTATCTTAAGCTGGCATATCCCCAGCGAAGTCGCCAGCTCTCGCGCTGAACTTCAAAAATGTGATGGCTGCGGCTATGGCCTTAAAATTTTGGATATGGGGTGTAGTAGGGCCAATTCAAATATTTTTATGGAGCCTAAAATTGAGTTCTGGTGTGTTAAGTCACCTAAGATGAGGATTTAAAGATTGAGGGGGCTCGTCATTGGTCTGCTTAGCCAAAGGTTGGATTAGGGATTTGCTTATGCTTACGGAAGGGTTAGGCACCCCAAGATGACCGTACCAAGCGTGGTTACCTATTCTTTGCATTAATTTCATTTCCATTGCATGATTGTATGAGGATTATGAGGTGCATGCCTAAGGATTTACATATGTATGGTGTGATAATGGGGATGATGTGAGAATGATATGGAAGGAAATATAGAGGATGATGGTCCCAATGGTGGAAGTGAAGGGGGAACTTGAATGAACTTAGGATTGCCTAAGCTGCCTACGTATCCCGAGGTTGGGAATCAAGTCAAACCTAGTTCGGTTGGAGTGATTTTAAGGACCTCCGTTCGCATGAAGAGTGCGAGTCGTGGATAATTCAAATTTGAGTTTAAGGACCTCTGCCCGTATGAGGAAGAAATGAGTTATAAATAACTTGGATTTGAGTGTAAGGACCTCCATCCACATAATAGAAAGGATGAGTCGCAATGACTTGATTTTTGTGTAAGGACCTCCATCCGCATGAAGGAAATGATGAGTAGAAATAAATTGATTTGAGTGTTTTACACTTCCCTCGCACGAAGGAAATGATGAGTCGCAAGGACTCAATTTGAGTATAAGGACCTCTTCCCACA